GGGGTGGGGGGAGGAAGGACGTTGGCATCAGAGCCGCTTGGGTGCGCTCCGAGGACCACGAAACACAGATCATCAGGAAGATCACAGGAGGCAAGAACAGTGCTTCTATTCACACAAGCACCTCTCTGTTCCAAACCCCGCTTTGTCTTGCCCCCAAGGAGGCTGGGGTGAATCAAGGCCCCTCTTACGGGAAAAGTAGTGTTGTTCGGGTGACCTTGGGACCTCAGCTCTCTGTCCCTCTCCCTTGACCGCAGGCGGCTGAGCTCTGTCTTCTGGATGAATCACAGGCGCTAACATCACGTCCGGCAAGGTCTTTGAAAGGACGGCAGAGGGCAGCCTCCCTGGGGAGGGAACGTGTCCATCCTCAAGGAGCCGGCAGTCTGGATGCTCCGAGGGTCATGGGAGACCTGGGGGGGGACCTGTTCACGGAGAGGCCTCCGTGTGACTCAGTGTGGCATCTGCGGGCGGGTGCCATGAGGAGCGCGCCTTCCTGCTCCCTTGTCCCCCAGGCTGGCCTTCGCCGGCTTCTGTGCAGTTTCCCAAACCAGCTCCTGCTGAAGGTCTCCCAGGGTGCTGATTCCGGCCTTGGGAAGTGGCCTGGAATGTGGATGCTGGAGTCTCTGCTGGGAAACACTTCTGGAATGTACCAAGTCCTGCCCTGGGCAGGCACGTCACAAGTTCACCGTTGCTCATGACACGGCCAGGCCACACGGCCATTCTCTGCGGATGAACTGACGACACAGAGTAGCGAGCCTGGTCCCCACTGGGCTCCACCACTCCCAGTGCCACGTCCTGGGCACAGGAGAGCTGGAGCCGTGAACCTCTGGGAGCCCGACCGCCACAGTGGCAGGTGCTCCAGCCCGGGCTGGTGTCCTGGGGAGCCTGTGGCCAGTGCCCACCCCGCTGTGGGGGCTGCTCTCCCTGCGCCTGTGGACCTGGAGGAGGGGGGAGGGCATCCGCCTCAAGTGGACCCAGTGGACCGCTCTTGACGACCGTGAGCTGTTACTGCTGTGCGCCGTCAGCTTGAATTTCCTTGCTGGGAGGGGAACCTGCTTTCCTCAACTCTGCGGAGCCGTCGTGGAGCGTGACGGGGGTTCGCCTGATGTTTGGTGGTCACCACCCACGTGATACTGATGCGCTTTCTTCCGTGGTGACTTGGGTGACTTAAAAGAGCTTTGGGGTAGGTGGCTCTGGACACCGTGACTCCCCTGCGGGCAGTGTCCTGCCACAATGGTCTTCACCTTGGCCTTCCCCAAGCTTTGTCCAACCTCCTTTGGGCACTGAGTCCAGGACGCCATCCTGCTTTCTGCCCAGACCAGCACGATGTTTTTTTTTCTTCTCCACCCGCACCCAGAACCCCTCCCGGTCTCTTTCCTCTTTGGTCCCAAGAAAACAAAGCAAAACAGAAACAAAAGTCTGTGAACTGCCAGTGGGGCTGAGTCAGGCCTCTGCTTTGTCAGAGGGGAATTCTGTCGGGGACGGGGGCGTCTTTTGGGAAGTCTGGTGGCTTTTGGGGCACTAGGACAAATGGAAAACCAAGACACACCCTTGAGAAGGGGGCTTGCCTCCCCTGCCTGCGAAGGCTCCGTCCTCTGCGTGGGAGGGAGGCCGGGAGGGGCCGCAGTCTCCGCCCAGAGGAGGGTGGATAGGGTGTCACAGAGGTGTCACCCCCGGGGCTGCACAGACGTCATGAGACGGTGCCACTCCTGGAGTCCTGCTATGAAGTGACAGGCCCGATGGGGGAGGGAAAGGAGCCGGGAGCTGAAACACAGTGACTGCCTTCCCAGCAGTGGAGGCTTTTCAGGTCCAGAGAGGCTGTTCACAGAATTAGAGTGGCTCTTCTCACAAACCGGCCGTAAAAATAAAAGATTTACTTTAAATCCGGCTGCTGAGTCCATGAAAGTCCTCGGACGCGGCTCACTCGGCCACGGCTTCCTCCCCACAACACCCTAAAAGGCCGCCGCGTGGCTGTGGGTGGGCATCATTGATGCCCAGGGGTTTTTAAATCTTGGAGGCTGACGTGGGGACTCTTGTCTTCTTGTCACTTACCCCGGGGTGCCCTCCTCACCCAAGGTCACGGGAGGCAGAGGGACCTGTTGGATGAGACCCCCAAGCTCAGGAAACTCCCAGGAGAAATTGTTGGGTTGGTGGGATCCCGTCCACCATGTGGCAAAGGCTTCCGCTCCCCTGGCCCTGACCGCTCCGTGAAAGGGCGGGAGGTGGCGGCGGGC